AAAAGAGTGGCGGTGGAAAACCCTTTGTCCAGGGGTGGACACACACACACACGAGCTTAATGCAATACCTGCTCGTCGAAAACAAAAACACCACAACAAACAAAAGCCATCTATGCAAAACCATCACCAATATAAGTGCATCGCTATTAGGAACAAGTGCATCGCTTCTAGTAACAAGTGCCTTACTAGTTAGATGTTTTCAGAACTGGGGTGTGGGGGCAATGAACAACAAGGAAAAACATAGACGAAACATTGAGCAATTGTTTCAACAATTGTTTCAACAATTGTTTTGAAGTCAAAATTGTTTGAAACAATTGTTTGGACAAATGTTTCAATTTCTCAATATAGGAAAAACAATTTCTTCAAAATAGTTGCTAATGAAAAACCATATTGGCCTACAAATAGAAAGCCAATATCACAGTCCCTGTTATATGTCCTGAACGCTGTTGCAAACCTATATTGCAACCTCACCGGTTGCATTTTCCAGTCACACACACAAACTGCACAAACTTCAGCTGTGCTTGTTGGAAGGGAATATCTATATTGATATTGAGGACTCCCCTTGTGAATTCTTGCAGCTGCTCCAACAGCATAGTTCCTATATAAAGCCAAACCACCTGTGCGCCCAATGCCCTTTTTGCACCGCATGACACAAGATGACGCAATGTTACATCTACAGTGTGACTACTCACTGGTCAAACCTGGCCAGAAGCCTTGGAGTAACACACTCCGCTTCGTGACCCGGTTTTGAAGCCACACAAGCCTTACAATCCCATCGTGCGTTGGGGGATTGGCAGGCTCCACTCCACCAAGTCCTCCAAGCGACGCTGGCGGCACACCACTTTCTGAAGACTGCTGAGCAGAACCCAAAGCAATGGGCCGCTGTGGCCGATCGGACAAAGCCCACCCAGGCAACCAGTGGAGCTGTGGGAAGTGGAGGGCGAAATGCCTGCCAGGGAATGGTGGGCTCAAGACCGGGTGCTCCCAACGACTCACATCATCAACGCTTCATTCATATATGCCTAGTTTTTCTCTGCAAAAAAATCTATCATGCGCAATCCCAAGAGAAATGAAATATGGTTGACCTGCTTGGTGCGACAACGAACATAATTAATGAATCAATGAAATGAATTGAGAGATACAATAAAAGCAGGCAAGAGATGATTTGAGGGCCACACAGAAACCCAAACCAAACAAACACAAACAAAGTCAAACATCGCTCAGGGCCGAGCAAGGGGCCACACATGCTTCAGCCCAACACCAACAGAACCCAAACACCCCTTCGCAACTCTTTTTCCCAGCCAAGCACACACCGCAACATCTGTGAAAGCCTCGGTCACTTTCCAGACTTGCCCTGAAGGCTCGCAAGGATACCTAAGGCGCCCATGGCCAAATCCAACTGCTCCTCAGTGGCTGGCTCCACCAGTGGTTTCCACTTGAAACAGCACAGGGCAGACTGAACAATGCCGAGAACGACTGGCAACGCCATAGCATTGCCAGCTAGGTCCTGCATCAGGCTCTCAGAGATGTCCAACTGGATTGTTTTCTCCTTCTCCTCTCTCTTCCTTTTCTTTGTTGACCCAGCCAGAGGCTGATTGCTCTGGGTGGAAGCAGCTTCATTCTTTCGCAATTTCTCATGGGCTGCCAGAAAAGGTCGGACAGGAAACCCTTGCAACAGCAAAGCCTCCTGGCCCAGGAGCAGTCGTTGAGCAGGAGATACCGACTCCGAGATCCACAAAAGCTGCCCTGGCAACATGGTGGGAGCAATGTGCTTGCCTGACTCGGACAGTGTCCCTCCTGCAGCTCTCATGACGCTCTGTGACAAATTCCGGAACGCTGCCTGGGGCGCCACTGTCCTAGACAGGGAAAGAGAATCCTTCTCTCTTTGGCTCAAAGTATCATACCAATCATTATCCTCAAGGTCTTCTGGTGTGCGTCCATCCCACCGCACCCCCAAATCTTGGCTGATCTTGAAGTGCTGCTCGGGCCACTTGTCGCAGCTTTGCGCATTTGGGGCCTTGGCTGCCCTCTTTGCTGCTGCGGCTTGGCTGGCAGCTACTCGGGCCCGTCGTCCTTCTAGCCCACTGGCTATCTCAGCCGCTTCGTCATCATCTGCATTGTCTAGCAGCACTTCAGAGACACAAGGAGCAGACCGTAGACAAGAGGCCACCATCTGACGGAAAGTTGCTAGGGCATCGTGCAACCCTTGCTTCGAGAAATCCAAGTATGGATTGGTTTGCCGAACAAAAAGGACGTAGCTACGACGCCGCCTGGCTGGGAGCCCAAATTCCTTCGCATCGGTCATCATCTTTTGAGAAGCGTAGCCTAATTCAGACATTTGGTTCAAGAGGATGTCCATGTTGGACACGGCCTGAGGCCCAACTGCGTCCTCTATAGTATCCACATTCTCATAGAACACAAACAGCGGTGGCATGGCTTGAACATAGGAAATGAAACCGTGGTAAGTTTGAGCAGAGCCGCCCTTGGATGTCGACATTTCCAGGACAGGTCGACCAAGAACCTTGGAAGGATTGATACGCGAAAGGTCTTTGCAGCTGGTGCCTAACACCAGCACATCCAGATGTGGCACTTCGCAATCCTTGTTGTGCACCACACAATGGGCAACACCTTTGTGAAGATCGCAAATATTGGCAAAAATACAAGGTGAACCTGCTTCCTCTGGAATGCACAGGGTTTCTCCATCAAGGGAACGATCAAGAGGCCCACACTTCACCACTGCTCGGATCCACTTTTGCTTGTCTTGGTGAGACTCGCAGCTGAACTTATGTCGCAAAGAAAGCCGCGCATCATGAGACTCAAAAACTGAATTCAATGCTTCAAAGACATAGAAGGCACCTTCCGACCCGCTGCAACAGCTTCCCCAAGACAAACTCAACTCCTCGATTTTGCAATCTGTGGAAGTCAGCTGCGGTCCGAACTCCTGGTCTGGAAAAAGTGTCCAGTAGCCCTTAATATGCTCTTCGGCAAGGCTTAGCAATAAAGAGCCGTTCTTAATCGCTGCTGGATCGACAACCCGGCCAGAGGCCTCAAGCATCAGCCGGCTTTCCTCGCAAGAGTCGTTCTTTTTCAGGCGCCTACCATCTCCAGGAGCCTCATGTGGCTTTGCGAGCATAGTTTGAAGAGGCGCTGCTACATAGCAGAAAGCTACCAAAGTTTGAGAACTTGTGGCTGAAGCATGCACAGGCTTGAAAAAAGGTGTAGACATGAGACCGCTCTACAAGGCTAGAATCATGTTTGCTGTAAGAGTCGGTTAATTGCGCAACAATGCTGCCTCGGTGTTTGCGTTTGGCAGGTGTGACACTCTTGCTGCACAACATAGCTTCTAGTTGTTTGACATCTAAAAACACCAAAGTCACAAGAACCAGTTAGTTAACTTTAAATTGAATTGAAGCTACCTTTGCCTTTGCCTTGTACTTGTAGACCCAATCTGCAGCAGCACTGTTTTCCAAAACCTGAAGCGGTGTGAGGAGGCTGCAGGCCTTTCAGACTCACAGCTGCCCATTGGCACAAAAGCACGGTCAAAGACCAGATCACTTGCATTGTATGTGATCCTATCAACCCTTTTTGGTTGTCTTTGGCTTGGGTTGCGCTGCCTTGGGCTTTGCCTTTGCCTTTGCCTTTGGCGCCTGTGCCTTTGCTTTCTTAGCTGGCGGCTCATTGGCCTCTTCCTCTTCCACGTCCTCTCCTTCCTCTTCTATGTCCTCTCCTTCCTCTTCTGTGTCCTCTTTGGCTTTCTTCTTTTCTTTCTTTTCCTTTTTTGTTTTTTTCTCTTTCTCTTTCTTATCTTTCTTTTTCTTCTTGTCCTTGTCCTTGCTCTTGTCTTTTTCCTGGTCTTTTCTTTGACCCTTCTTATCCTTGTCTTCCTCTGTCTCATTGGCCTCCTTTTCCTGTGTCTTGGTCTCAGCGCCAGGTTGTTTCTTTGGAGGCCTCTTGCCTGCAAGCAGAGCAGTGCATTCCTCTACCACCTTTTGGGTGAACTGTTTCAGCTCTGCCTCCCCCTCAGGCAACTCTGCCAAATGTTTCTGCAAGGTCTCAACTATTGGCCGCAACTCCTTCAGCGCCTTGCTGCCCTGAGCAGAAGCACTGCCCAGCTCGGGATTCCTCAGAACACACAGGCCTGCCACTAGCGCAACATGCAAAGAAGCGGTTGCCAAAATGCCCCTTAATGTCTTCACCTCAGTGCCAAGTTCTTCGCCCTCCATGGCTGACTTGGCCAGAGGCCCCAATCCAAAGTCCAATGTTTCGGCAGCCTTCAAGCTTGCAACATGATTTTCAAGGCTCTCTATCTTCTCAGACAGTTGCTTTGTGTCTGCAGCAAGCTTCTGCACAACCGTCAAGCCCTTGCCACGGTACTTGTCCTCATTGTCAAAGCGTGGCAAAGACTCTAGCATTTTGCCCACAGCTTTGCCCTGAACACGCACGGCGTCAGACATGTCATCAACTGTCTTTTGACTCCTGGACACGAACTTGGCGCCGAGGTCATGAAACCATGGGACGGCTGCAGCAAAACCAGAAGCAGTGAGTTGTTCCTTGACTTGCGGCTCCTTTTCTCCAACTTTCTGGGCTTCGACGAGCTTTCTCTGCAAGTCTTGCAAAGCACCTCCAAGCTTGTCATCGGCCTCCACATGCTTCGCCACCTATCAGGCGTTACGGTGTTCCTTGCGGGCCAACCCGACCAAAAAACTGTGGCCAAGAAACTATACCTCGACGACACATGTCACCTCTCAACACCATGCAGGGCAGCAGTGGAAACTACACCT